ATAAATTTATACGTTATGTCAGCGTGTAACACTTCCGTTTCCGGACAACATCTTTTAAAAAAAAATCCTTGAGCTTTTGCAATAAAATTTTATATCACAACTTTTATGGCCTCGTTAATTGGGTCAGAAAACTGTCAAACGTCAAAATAAGAAATTCATACGTTGCAAGTAAGATTTTCCAGTTGATAACTATTTTTCCTTCAGCTTCTGCCAATGAAGTTTAATATCTTAACTCCCATATGGTCTTAAAAGGGCCACTATTTTTTGAGATGAAAATATCAAAGGTCAAGGTCAGAAATTCTTAAAATTTCGTTTTTGAACTTTATTTTAAAAAGCCTATGAGATTTTGTATAACAACTCCCTATGGTCTTTAAAAGCCCCCTATTGACATTGAGATCAAAAGGTAAAGTTCAAAAATTCATATGTTGCAAAAAAGGTTTCCAGATAATTACTTTTGTTTTCTTCGAGCTTTTTCAATGAAATTATATATCATAAGTTACTTAAAGGCCACAATTGATTTTAAGGTCAAACAGTTAAAGGTCAAGGTCAGGAATAATACAATGCAGGAATTGGTTTTCAGAGAGTTACTTTAGTTTTCCTTTCAACTTTTTCTATGAAATTTTATATTATAACCCACAAAGTCTTAGCGAAGATCCCTTCTGATTTTAAGGTCAAAAATTCATATCTTGCATGAAATGGTTTCCTGGTGACAACTCTTGTTCTCTTTAAGGTTTTGCTATGAAATTTATTAAAACAATATGAATTAAAAAGGCTTCTATGATTTTGAGGTCAAAAGGTCAAAGAAAAAGGTTGGAAATTTATATAGATTGCATGCATAGATAACTTATATTCATAGATTACTTTAACCTAAAAAAGAGCTTTTATTATTGACGTATTACCAAAGGCCGAGAGGTCAATGTTGACTTTTTTCCTTTTTCTTTCTGCCTGGGTTTTTTTTCCAGTTCTTCCACCCTCTGTTTTTTTCCTTAAGAAGGGGGCACAATTTTCTAAATAAGCTTGTCTTTTAGCAAACACTCATGTTGTTATGGTATTATGTATTCATAAAAATAGAAATGGATACATGCAGTTTTTTTCGAGGGTTTTGGTAGCATAAGTGTATGGTCTAGTGCGGGGTTCAAATATAAACAGAATGTGGTGGTATACATGTATATTTTTAAGTATGAAACTTTGATACTCTGTTAGTTTTTTTTTTCAAGATACAAAATGTATTGACAATGAAATTTTCATTGTACATTTTTTCATTAACAGATGTATTATACATTTACATTATATGTCTGAAAAAAAGACAAAGAAATTCCAGAGACTTAAGGATATCAAGGTCAAGTCTGATGTGTAAGGGTTGTTCGAATCTAACTTGGGTCCTCGCCTTCTTGTCGCAGTTGCACTCTAATTTTCGATAATCTAAATGTATGTGATGTGTACTTATTTCTAGAACTTGAATCGTTAATCCAGCAGAGTGATTCAGTCCGGAACTTTCTGTATATCATCAACTATAATGAGAAAAAGCTTCAGGCAGTTTAAAGGTCAATTTTTCTATGGTTCCAAACTAAGAGATCATACTTAGAGAGCTAGATTTTGTGCAAGCTGATTTACATCGGAATTCGTTACCTGCATTTTGAAACAAAAACAGCTTGCGGAACAAAGAATTATATTACTGATTCAAAATACTGATGTGTCTAGTCCTTTACTTTTTTTGCATGTACTTATTAATTCTTTGCGATTTTTTTACACGGACATGTCCGTGTAACATTTTTTCTGAGTTTCTAAACTATTGGATTAATCTATTTATCTTCTACTAAAGAGGTGACACAATCATTTCGCGCCAAACGTCACGCGAAAATTATCTCGGCGTCGTTTTCTTGGATTGTTCTATTAAATGGGTGTGATAACTTCCATCGAAATAAGGTTCCTTCTTTTAACCTCATCTTAAGGTTTAGGTTTTTTAACTAAAAATTTTATCTTTATTTAATAACATCATAACATAACATATGACGGCTCTATATGGGTGAAAAATTCTCGAATGTGACGTTAAACAATATACAATCAATCGATTAATCTTTTGTCTTCAGACATATATTTACGATACTTTTTTTAAATTCTCGAATGTGACGTTAAACAATATACAATCAATCGATCAATTTTTTATCTTCAGACATATATTAACGATATTTTTTTATCAATAGACTCCACAACAACAAGGGGAATTGTGTGCAGTTTTACTTTATAATGATAATCTTTTGTCAACATTTGGTTAAAGTTATATATGGTGTATCTGAGCTAAAAAAATAAAAATACGAAATTGAGTGTAGATGAACATGATATTTGTTATTTACATTTCTATAGTTAGAGCAGCTCTAAATTGACTTTAAACTGTGTCTGATATTTAAATGCGGAGTCGGTAAATAAATCAGTTATTGTTTTAAATTTCTAATACCTGTGAAACACGGTTGATTTAAATTGTGTAATTTACAGGAAAGTCTTATCTTTATATAAAGTAATAAAACAGAAATATCTTTTCAATTTAATTAGTCTGAACTTATCAAAAATACTCCATATATGACTTTAATATTTTGGTTTGATGCATTTTGGCCTTGCATCTAATATTGTGGAAATTTCATCATGCAGGTCCATATATATCCTTACTTCTTATACAGGCCCGTAGTACGCGGCGGGAGGAAGGGGCATGGGAGCCTGCCCTCCCCCCTCCCATTTTTCTGAGAATAGTCTTTCTGATATAGTTTTACTTTGTAAATTGTCATTTTGAAGCTGTTTGCACTTTTTGTTGCTGTACGGTTGAACACAGGCGAATTTCAGCATTTAAAAAATGTGCCGAGAAGTTAGAGTTACAGAGTGGTCCAAACCCCCCCCCCCAACCCCCCAACCCCCCCCCCCCACACACACACACACACATTATCAAAAAGGGTTTTCGAGTTTGGACAGTTTACGTTTGTGGGGGCTTGTCAATTTTTTAGGGGACGAGGTTGTCCCCCTTGAAAAACGTTGCTATTGGCCTGTTATATTAAGTTTTGAAGAAAAAAATGTTGTCTTCAAAATTCTGAGATTAATATTATCCGTAAAATTATTATGCATAAAAGTTCACGATACAATTCAGTCTCCATATTCATTTTTAATTATTTCAGTTGGTATTATGAGAAGCCTTCATATTTTCAACTGTCTTTCGGCATTTCTCATCTCCAATGCATGCACTTGAAATTAATTCATGTAACCTTTACACAGTCACAGCTTCCCAGCACAAATCAATCACGTTAATTCGTTCTCCTTACTTACATCATTTTAATTTAAAACCATTTAAACTTCTTTCAAATGTTATAAATGTGCATGTAAATTCCACTTTATACCTGTTATTCGAGATACAATAAATATCTTTACCTAAATTTTCACTTTTCAATAAGTTTCCATTCTTCTGATGAGTCGCAAAGAAGTTAAGATAAAAAAAATCTCGATATTTTGTATAAAGTCTTACAAATGTAAGGTAATGAAATATTACGACCCTCTCCCTCCCCCCAACATAAATGGACGGAAACATTTATCTTATCATGCTTATATGTTCTTATTAATATGAATTGCTTAGTCAGGCAAGCTTTTGAACAGTACGGAAGCCGGGTAGGTGCCAGGTGGAGAAATATTTTATCTGCATGGCGGCTGCCACGTAAACAACTGGCGACCACCACATAGATAACTGGCGACCGCTAGAAAATTATCTGGCGGCCGCAAAATAAATAGATTTGGCGGTCGCCACAGAAATAACTGGCGGCCGCCAGATAATTATTTGGCGGTCGCCAGATAAAATATTTTTGTACCTGGCAACTTCCTACATCCGTAGAAAAGATATTACTTGTATTATATTTTAAAGGTCAAGGATTTTTCATCTTGAATGCTGGAATTTTCTCTACTACAAGATACTGGGTACATTTCAAACTTGATAAGCCAAACTTTCAAATAAAATTATATAAAAGTTACTATGTTTAATATAGTGTTTCAAAAGCAATAACATTGACAGTGATTTAAAATTGTTGTTCATTTTTTTGATTTATTTCTTTATTTTTTGCTAGCCAAAACCAGCATTTATTGAGAAATGTACTCTATTACCAAAAGAACGAATGTATGATAAATCTTTAAAGCTTGACATTATCTTCTTAACTTAATAAGAATCAGAAAAGTCATTCTTAACATAGTTGTGATTTTTCATATTTTTTAATTAATTTTATCATGATTTTATTTCTTCTTCTTTTTCTTGTTATTATTACTATCATTATTAGTATTAGTATCTGAAATTTACAATGACATCATTCTATTAAATGTAATTATAAAATATATTATACTGACATCGTACTTAATTATGTGTTAGCTTTCAAAATGCTTTTTTTATCACAATGTATTTTCTCTGATTGTAGGAGAGCAGTTACGTTATCACAATAATCAAACGTTCAAGACCCCGGATCACTCTGCCTCCGCCTCACTTTCGTGTTTCCATTCCTATACAGAAGGGGGGTGGTGGTTTAAAAACTGCCATTACGCGTATTTAAATGGAGTGTATGGGTCAAGTAAATGGGCCAATCCTTGGTCCGGAGTAATCAACTACGGCACTGACTTCCGTTCATCCCAAATGATGACCAGAAGACACAACTAGTTCATTTTATGTATAGTTTCTCGTTTTTTATATGTTTTGGATGTTTGTGTAAATGCATTTGGCTATCTACTTTAATACTAAGTAATATAATATTATACACATGTATAAAAATGCTAGGCTCATGGTACATTGAAGAATAAGATGCATACAATGTAACCTTCTGTAATATGCTTTATATTGAAGGACAAGGAGTGAAAACTTATTGTTTCTCGTTTCTTGATACGTAATAAGGTCGAATTTGAAATTCAGAAAAGAATAGAGTAGTGAGTTACGATAATTTCTATTTAAGTAATTGATCAATCTTGGTTCTACACAACAAGACAGCGTTTTAATATAAATTTAATTAATGCAATTATGATTATGTACATTCATAATATGTCTTCTGACTGAGTAGTATTAGCACGTAAACAAAGTTCCAGAAGAAACCCAAGGTTTCCCGCACATAAAACTTTCGGGGTGCTTCTTTTTCCATTCGGAACTGTATTTCCAGCCTCCATTACAATTATATGTAGGTGCGGCTTGTGCTTTGCAGAGTTTTCGCAAAGGAAATGAGACTCCATTACTGTCGGTCCTAATGAAAATTAAAAATAAATAATATGATTAGTTGCTAAAGAAAAAATATGTGCTTTAAATATTTTAATAGTACACTCCCTTCTCACTTTCTTTGAAGGAACAGTGGAATATTGGGAAAAGGGAAATATTCTAAATTTCCTCTAACATGGAGAAAATATACACGTTTATGTATTAAATGTACGTATTTATACGCAATTTTCTCGTAAAAGACCAAAACTTTCCTTAATTTTTTTTCAAATATCTAAATGATAATTTTTTCTTGTTCTCTTGACAAATGCCTTTCTATTCAAAAAGTAGCTTTCTGCATATCGTCTAAAAGTTCAAGAATTTTAAACTTTGGAGTAATTGAATACTTACGTTTTTCTTATTTTGTGATCTAAAATAACGATGTTTCCACACGGGATAGTATTAGCAGGGTTGTCTGTATGTGGCGCATGCACACTTGGAGGATAGAAGTGCGTTTGAGAGCAATACATCACTGTGTAGTTGTCAATCACCAGTTCATACAGTCCCATTTCCCCATTAAACTGAATATATGGTGCTACAATGGGATTTAAAGTATGTTTGTTTTAAAAAACGGTTGCGGATTGTTATACACAAACAAAACTCAATTTCATCAACATTCACATCTGCTTTTGCTATGTTTGAATGTTGATTGTCGTTGATCTTTGCAGTAAATACATCACACAGACTAAAAAAAATACGGTATATGTATACGGGTATATATATTCAAAAACCACAAGTATTTTTACTTATAATGATTCAGAAATGAACAGAATAGTTACCGTATTTGTTATAACAGAGGACCCCTGCATTTACGGCGTATGATTCTCTGCATTCTGTACCCTGTGAGTAACAATCGAAAAATGACGACTCGTTTCCAAAACACGTGACTTTACCGAAGAGGACGAATTCATCTCGAGCACTCTTGTTTATATCAAACGCTATTCCATCTAAAATTGAAGTAAAATATTCCCAGTATATAATATACCGGCTTATAATTTCAATGACAATTAAGTTTGTAGAATTTTTGCATGAAATTTAATGTCTCAGATCTAGAATAATAACAGTAATTTCAGCTTTAGGTGAAAATGATTGCTTTTTAATACCATTAAAACCGAACATTTTACAAGTAACGGAAGCCTCTACATCTGTCCACGAGTCTGCGCAAACGGAAGCACTTAGTCCAAACTGACTTACAGTCACCCGGCCAAGACCTGATTTAAGATTCACTCTTCCTTCTGTAAAAATAATAAATACGTAAAAACAATTATTCGATTTGATCACAAAAATGTCTATTTAGATGTACATGGAACTATTATGGTTACCACTTTTCCCGCCATTTTGATAGCAAAGAATTCGTGCTACTCCAGTCTTCTCATCGTCCCATGGACTGACGGACGGACAAAGTAAATTCGAGGTATTGCACTGACTTACTGAAGATTCATTACCAGAGCATCTTATTCCTATTGGAAACGATACCTCCATCTTGCCAGGGGGCAATGGTACACCTCCAGAGAAACCAAGATGGCGACAAAGCATGGTGGCCTCTTTGTACGAGAAAACATTTTCTCCACCACAAACAAAACTTCCGTCTATTTTCAAGTTTCCGTAATACTGATTTGAAAGGGAAACTGAAAAAATAGTGTAAATGCACGTAGTATGTTTTTTCAATAATTTCAACGAATAAAATTCAAAAAATTGGAGGATAGGAGGTTAAACTTGATTGTATCTAATCACTCCAAATATTCTTAACTTTGTTTTTATTAATTGATTTTAAAAAAAGATGTTTACGAAGTAATATTTCTTAATAGTAATATACTTTATGATTTCTTTTATTTTGACACAAAATGAGAATCGCCGACATAAGTAAAACCTTGACTCTTCTTTTTCGAATATTTCGATTTCGACAGTTAGCTATTAAATCACATATCGTGAGGTCCATAATTATTTAAAACATCAAGATGAACTGATGCTTCAGAATATCATTTAACTATTGATCGCTGATTGCATTCCAGCAAATTAAAGTATGATATTATTTTTTTTTTTCATTAATTTTCTTTTTTTTTCTTTCAAAGCAGTATACAAAGGATGACTGCACTTCAGGATATGCGAAAATTGCGACAAAGTAAACTTTCAAAACAAGCATTTTTCTTTTAATTGCAGGGATTTTTAGCATCTTATCTACAACTTTACGTAATTACATTAAATAAAAATGTGTATTTATGAAGTACAAATTTGTTTTCAAAGGCGGGGTTCATCACAATTTCTTGATTTTTCGTTCGTTAATGAGGACGACCACTTTTTTTTTACTTTATACATGGTCAGCGCATGTTTGTCTATTGTTCTCCGTCTAACAGTGGTTGTATATTTGCATTATGATATTGTGTAAAAAGGAGATTAATAGACAAACATGTACTCATAGTTTAAAAGAGAAAAACTGCTCCTTCTTAATTGTGTGTGTGTGTGTGTGTTGTAACCAAAGGTTGTGACATGTTTTAAAATATTATAATTTACCACGTGATTTCATATTCAGGTAATATTCTGTCACGTGACGTGTACGTTAGTATGTTGTGTGCTACTAGGAAACTGAGTTCGAACACTTTGAATTGTCAGACACTGATTTAAAATCTTTATTTACACGGACGTGCTCATATATATTCTTAATTTCGTATTGAAACCTTCGTAAATAGTGTGCTTGTGCCATACAGAATAGAGGGAGAGATGTCATTGTTATTATTCTAGTATAACTTTAGATTCATTCTTACAATGTTAGTTCCACCTCTCATGCATACCTAATGTTCAATCAAGGGCAGAAAAGTGTAAATTCTCTATCTTTAGAAAGAAGTACATTTGTAAGGACAAAAAACAAAGAATTATGTTATTGTATCACAGTTTAAGATCATTTTAAATTTGGTTCAACATTGCCCGGAATTTTAAATATATAACCAAAAGTGAAATTAACCAGGTTGAGATTTAATTAAAAACAACAAAAGCAACTGAAAAAGACCCAAAATCCGGCGTTTAGTGCAGTAATCCATTGCAAAAATCTACACAGGCATTATTAACAACTTGATGGTACAGGAGCACTCTCAAAAATGGTGTGTTATTAAACTTTGTTTTTTGCACTTCTTTAAAAATGCCTACGGGTTGTTTTCGCTGGTGAACACCGTAAAGCAAGTTCAAGGTGCGAAAATTAGCATATAATTACCATTGCGCTAAATCATTCCCTTGTTTTTTCACTCACTTTACTTGAAGTCGCCTGCGTGGCGCAGTGGTAGAGCGTTTGCTTTACAGTTGCAGAGTAAGAAATAGATCTTTACCTCGCGGGAATCCTACTGTGGGACGTGGAGACCGGTCCTTTTGATGAGACCGTATAAACTGAGGTCCCGTGTCGCAGTAAGTGCTGGCATGATAAAGATCCCTCACTGCTCAAAGGCCGTAGGAGCTTAGTACATGTCTAAACTTTAAAATTAAACCTCCATCGGCAAGTGGTGGCGTCTCAATATGAGTGAAAAATTCTCAAAGGGACGTTAAACAAACTGTCAAACACCTTACTGCAATATTTAGAACTTCATGGAGAATCAATACATTTAAGACCTTCCCCTCGGTCCGCAGGTCAATTTGAAACTAAGTTGTCCAACAACAGAGTGCATTACTTCCGTACGCCCGACCTGTCCGTGCCAGACATACTTATCTAGCATGTACACATGTTTATTATAATTTAAAGAGAAGTTTAGACCACTTTATCATTACGACAACAAATTTTCTCTTAAAAATCAAAAAAATTCCCTCATGAAAATTTATTTGACATGCAAAAAGCTAAGCATACTCTCCCAGTCTATACGGAATATACGTGCATTTCAATACGCGGCACTGGGGCGAGGTAGACTACAACGGATTTAGGGCGATTCTGCCTTGGCAGGATGTACCAGGGAACCAGAAACAGTCCTAAAATACTACTTACCTTGAAGTCCTCTACATTCATAAAAAATATATCCCAACAATAGCAACACAGTCAATTCCATATTTGATTAATTAATTCACATTTTCAGTCCTTTATAATAATGATAATAATATTTTTTAAATTATTTTCTTCATCTGCGTTTTACAAAAATACTTTCGTGTTTATCTTTCAGAATCACGATCATGTTTGTCTAGTAAAGTACATGGTATGCATTTTTCAGGCTTATAAATCTTCTGTGGTTGATGTATAAGGTATATTTATTTCACGCTTATTGAATTTTCTAGAGACTTCCTAATGATCTATGATGATTAGCGAGAACGCCGTATTAATTCCATGATCACCTACATGTACATGTAATTACATTTTACGGTGTGTAAATTAGTCCAAGGTTCCGTTTAAGAACAAAAACAAGATATATTTGTGAATTTGATGCCCCTTTGGAAATTCAAGGCCAAGGTTAAAGTTTTTCAAATGTAGGTCTAACTCCAAGGTCAAGAGTTCAAATATGGCGTGATACCTAAAGAAAGCTCTTGTCAGAAGGAATAATCATGTGCAATATAATAGTCCTTGTACCAACCATTCAATAAATATGACCAAGGTTTAAGTTTTCAAAAATTAAGTCATACTCCGAAGTCAACCTCATGAGGAAAAAAAATAATGATATCAAAGGAAGGTCTTAATACAAGAAAGGCATAAGTGAAGTATGAAAGCCCTTAGGTAGCACAAACCGTTCAGAAGTTAGGGGCAAGGTTAAAGTTTGCTTTACAAATGTAGGTCAAACTCAAAGGCCAAGGTCGGGAGGTCAAAAATGTCGGTATCCAAAGAAAGGTCTTGCTGCAAGGAATACACATCTTATTTATGAAAGTCCTGGCAACAACCAATCAAAAGTTATAGCGAAGATTTAAGTTTTTCAAAAGTAGGTCAAACTCAAAGGTCAAAGTCGAAAGGTCAAAAATGTTTGTATTAAAAAAGTCTGGATATATGAAATACACATGTGAAATATAAAAGCCCTAGCTCTAAACATTCAAAGGATATGGCCAAGGAAAAAGTTAGGTGATTTTTTTGCAAAAGTAGGTATCCCCAAGCTCAAGGTCAAGAGGTCAAATATGTTGGTCTCCGTACAATGAACATACATATGAAATATGAAACTTTAGCACAAATCATTCAAAAGTATTGGTAAGGTAATTTTTGGGAGGAAAAGGAAATCAATAACAGACAAACGCAGACAGACGGACGGACAGATCAAAATTAAAACTATATGCCCTTTAATGTTCCATTACATGCGCGGATCTAGAAGGGGGGGGGGTCGGAGTGTCTTTTTTTTTCTTTTTTGCTTGTTACGAAATTTCTGGTCTTTCTGGTCTTACATACATGTACTAGCCAGAGTCTAACCTGGGCAAAATCGATGAATATTTTTTTTAATTGTATCACCATAAAAATTCATAGAACAATTTACATTAATGTGATATAAGCTTTGGTGATTTTCATATACATTGAACTCAGAAAGGAAAACCAACCAAATGACATATTAAAATAATTATGACAAGCTAAAGAAAAATCATAATAATTCACAAGAGTGCAATTCAGTTATTACATTTTGCATCTGTTCTTCCCTAAACAGTACGGGAAATTTGAATTCTTCAGTATTTCAACTACATGTATTTGTTTGCGAGCACGATGAATCCACAGTTTTTTTTTCTTTTGTTAGGTTACTGTTACAGTACTAGTTACTATACAGGACTAGAGAACGACACAAACATCTTTCCTCAAAGCGCTTTTTCCAAGACTGCTTCTACAAGCCCAAACTCTAATTATTTATCATTTTTATATAGTTCCATAACTTGCTCTGTTTGGATTAGAATGCATCGATCCCCGGTCCACTTTATCTCCTGATGACGTCAGATGCTGGTGCTCTCGACGCTTACAAAATAGGCAGATATTAACGATAATTTCCCGCCTTAATATGACGTATATCAAAGGGTCTAAAACAAGAACCCAGGCTGCGAAACGGAAAAATAAATAATTTTTTTTCAACAGCGCTTCATCATAATCCTCCACATTCAAAGTCACTGTCATAATGATTTTTATCTGTAAAATAACAAAGAAAGAAGTTTTCTATCAGTAAAAAGTAAATTGACCTTGATTATCGACATGTTCTAGATTTTATTTTAAAGAAAAAGTTTCTTATACAGTGTTGAACGTCCTTGAATCTATTTAGAAAAAAAATTCTCACATAGTGGTGAACAACACAAGGGATTGCATTTTAAATTATGTTTTTGACTTGAAAGGATTATACTTAACGAATTTTGGGCGAGATCTTGAAAAACGTAACTAACTAAACACTATGATAATTGATGTTAAGTACGTGATTGATTAGACTATAGTCAATTGTGGTATAAAATGTCATGTATAGAACTGTTCAAATCTTTAATTAGTTCATAATACAGAATAGAAAAACTACTAAGGTTGATAGATTTCTACTTTTGATATATTATTTCTTACCAGTAAAGGGCTCCAGCACACAGCAAGCTCTGTAATGACGGCCAATAACTGAAACAACATAAAATAGTACTCCTTTCCATCATGGTTTATGGAAATTAAACTTTGGCGTTGTCTCGAATAACCCCGTGAACTGCGAGACAACGCAACGATCACTAAAATGTTTAGAACGATCGCTAATGTTAAGAAAAGAAGTCCGAAAATGCTATATATAAAAGCATAAATATAATCAGAATGGTTGTTGCCATAGATATTGATGAAACAAAAGTCACATGGATATATCTTTTCAAAATGGTCGCCGCTTACGGCAGGTAGAATCGCCATGACAACGGCCACGCATAAAATCACTACCGGAACAAATATAATACACGCATGATGTTTTAACGTGGAATAAAAATAAGGGTGCCATAAAGCTAGAAATCTTTCTAGCGAAATGATCGTCACAATTAATAAGTTAGTTAATGATATGAAAATTATAATGATGGACTCCGCGATACACAGGCCTTTCCCGCCAAGCCACTTTGTGGCAGTATTTTCAATCACACTGATACTACCAAACATGACCACCCCTAACAGATCAACACTGACCAGTAACAACACGAGGCGATAAAACATTTTCCAGTTGTGGTACCTTGATTGTTTGATGAGAAGAACAAATGCAGTCACATTTCCGAGCACTCCAAGAACGATATAAAAACCGGAAGCTACCGTAAATCCGTGGCCTGTGTTTGTGAAATTACTGTCACAATAACTTATATTTTGCGACATGGTTAATTTCAACCTATAACTTTCCAGATCACAGAATTTAAAATCAGAATTTCATCCTTCTGTAGTCGAAAAATGACATCTTTTTTGTCTGGTAATATATTTACATCTGTTCAGTTGATGAGCACGGGAACACGGTGACTGTATGACCATCTTACATGTCCTCATGTGACTGATGAGATCAGACGTTATATGGAAACAATTATGTTATTAATTACGCTGAGTAGCGGTTTCCGTCTGTGGTTATAGTTTCCTTCTTCACAGCACATTTTCACTTGAAATAAGTGGGCGAATCTTTCTATTTTTCTTTATATTGTGAACATTTCATTAAAAAGGGAAAACTTCACGACCTTGAACAATCAAGGAGCGAGTCTTTCTTTTATTTATGTGCACACTTATTAAAGTCTTTTTAAACGGGATAATACTAATGACTGATTTCAAAAATAATCTTCCTTATTTTGAATATTTTCATAAGTTTACAAATTAATATTTTGAATTTTGTACTTCAATCTCAGGTACTTGTGTAATTTATTTTTGTTTACAATATTTCAAGCTATTAGATGTAAGCCAATAGGGATGAAAAGGGTCCACTGCAACATGGGCTTAAAATGAATTAATTTACTCTATTAGAACATACATCCCAAAAAATTCAACAATTTCCCATGCATTGAAATTTGTAATCAAACATTCAACGTTTACGGAAGAAAATCACGAATAACTGTTAAAAATTTCCACATGACGCTTTTTAAAAATTTTAGATTAGACATCCGATAAGATTCTTCGTAATATAATAAGAGGAAGGTCATTTCTAGTATAAGTTCATTTCCTTGTTCTTTGTTTATCTTTTAAAATACTGACATTTTAGTCAAAAAACTAAACATGAGGCCCATGGGCCACAATGCTCACCTGAAACACTGCGGAATTGCTCTTCTTCATCAGCAGATTTTGTCCATTATATTCCAATATAAAATTTTGATCGCCTTTTATGGTCTCATCCTACCCCCAGGTGTCACGATTACTTCCGGTAACTTGAGATTAATATGACAATTCAGGACTTTACTGTTCTTGAGAAGAATTAAGATTATAAAATAAATTCCTACATCTTTGATTGATTACCAAGACCCTCATGATCAGAAAAAAATTTGAATTTACACTTTGTAATAAAGTTTATCTTTTCTGGCCCGAAAAAGATTTGTCTAAAATGTCATTAATTTTTCACATATTCTTAACTATCATACCCTTGAAAGTAGGGCGTAGCTCTTCACTTGAACAAACTTGAATATCCTTTCCCCCTTCACTTAAGGATGCTTTGTGGAAAGTTTGGTTAGAATTGGCCAAGTAGTTCTTGAGAAGAAGTCAAATATTTGTAAATGTTACGACGTTGATGCCGAAGACGAGAACAACGACTATGACAGACAACGGACAAATTTTGATCAGAAAAGCTCACTTGAGCCTTCGGATCATGTGAGCTTAAAAATATACATTGTTTTGAAACGAAAACGGGATTCTAATAGATTGGGTTATACGTTATGCATAGATTATCTGGAAATTAGTAAATACTGTACGTAATCTTCATTTGATTATGAGAACTCTAAACTTGTGCTTCGTTCCTTCGATGCCATCCCTTATGTGGACATAAGTGTATACATGTATTATGAAAGTTAAAACAGAAGTATTTTGGGAAGAAAAACAAACAAACATTTTTATACCCCCGCTCCGAAGGAGAGGGGCGTATACTGTTTTACCCTTGTGTGGCTGTCTGTCTGTTCGTCTGTCAGTCTAGCTGTCTGCCTGTCTGTGTGTGTGTCTGTTTGTCCGTAACAAATTTTGGTCGCAGTTTTCTCAGCAACTACTCATTGCAGATGCTTGAAATTTTAGCACAATCTTTGTTTAGGCATGCCATATAATGGGATTTATTTTTAGTACAAATCCGATGTCAACTTCCTGTTTATCCGTGTGTCTGTCCGTACCATACATAACAAATTTTGGTCGTAGTTTTCTCAGCAACTACTCATCGCAGATGCTTGAAATTTTAGCACAATCTTTGTTTAGGCATGCCATATGTTGGAATTCATTTTTTACAAATCTGATGTCAATTTCCTGATTATCACTGTGTTTGTCCATAACTGAACTTGTGTATTCACATCAGAGCGGGAGTATTATTAGTGAGCATTGGCTCACAGACTTCTTGTTTTTTTAATTTTTTATTTAGATAGGAGGTAATGAAATATTAAATGACCAAGATAAAAATTACATAGTATTAATATAGTAGTACATGTAATAATAATTTATTTGACCAATGTATTTATTTTTAAGCAAATTTTCACACATGTTTACTGCACATTTGTGGCTTCAGGCTTCAATTTTGCAAATCTGAGAACTTGATTTCTCCTAGATCTGCAATTTATCCGTAACCGTGAACATTTTCATTACATGTAGTTATCCAATCTAAATTCGAGGTTTTGGTACAAATATGATGTCATTGAGATGGGACGGTAATGATTCATAGCCAGCAGAGCAAGGATTTCGGTCTCAGTTTATTTAAATAACTTTTTATATTATCATTATTTACTCTCTTTTCAAAATAGATAATGAATCGGCAGATAAGCCATTTATTTTAGTGGTTCTTGCACGTCGCAAGTTTATATGACTTGTGTTTGTTTTTATTTTCTGAAGTACGGGAAAATAAATTGTGCAAGATACCGAGTGAAATTATTAAGGATATCGTGCTGTAATGTTTCCGTTTTATATAATAAGCCGTCTAGTGGAAAAAAACTAATTTTATTTCCTGTTAGAAAATTAACTTATCCAATTTATAGCATGACTGATATGCTTATAAACCTATATACATCTATCACCATAACTATAAATCACGTGACACAAGAAAGCGCCGGTATCGGCAACAGCCGTCGTTTATCATTTCCATTAATTATTCATTAACACTCCTCCACCAAACATAAGATTCTTCTTTGTGCAAAATGCATAACATCTAATTAAACACCCCTCTCTCTCTCTCTCTCTCTCTCTCTCTCTCTCTCTCTCTCTCTCGTAAAATCCTATCGATTGATGTTTTTATTAGAAAGTAAAATGCAATAACCAGGTTGCAAGGCACGCACCACAAGATTTCTGGCAAAATATAGAAAATAATGAAAATATTACAGCTAAATTTTTGCATAACATTATATACATGTACTAATTATAAAACACATTATATACTTATTACTGTACTACTATACTTCTGTCACACGTGTGGACGGATCTTGAGGTGATTTGGGGAGGTCCGGACCCAACCCCACCCCCTTCCGGGATTTTCAGAGTAATTAAATCTCTATGTAATCTTAATGTACTCTTGAACCCTTCACCTTGGAAACACGAACCCCTCATAAAATGGTAAGGGGAGTCAATGTAACTGAAGAAAATCAAAATTGGCCTGTCACATGCGTGCAGTCCCCTCCTAAACCCCACTCCTTTTCAAGGATATAAATTTTCAGAATTGGCAACTTGTTAAAGTTTTTCCCTCGTCAAAGATATCTGTTAGAGTTTGTGTGGAACTCCCCCTTCCCCTAGAAAAAAAAAACCATGGATCTGTGCAGATCTGTGGATGACAGTATAGTGTCTGGTTCAACTGTGGGATACTGCAGTTTCAATAATCGCTATGCAACATCCTGTCATCGGCCTTAATTTCAGTCATTTTAAAGCTACGCGGTATTTCATTCATATACATGTATGTTCATAACTCTTATTGCAACGTGCATCAGAATCCGCATGTACATGAAGAGGAAATTCAGAGGGACTTAAATCTCACTGAAAACAGACTGATTTTAGACCTTGCTCGTTTAGAACTCAAAAATTTCACATCATCACCAAATCTAAAAGTCTCGACGATTTTTTTTTCTAAACAAACTTAACACTTTGATAAACATTTGAACAGGCTTTTGAAAATTGTCCCTTTTTCTTATATTTTTCTACTAATGTTAAAATTCTTAATACATGTGTATTATTAACGGTTGGGCATGAGAATATTTTTTATGTTTTATTGTAGAATTAATGGTTGGTTATAATTTCTATTATTAGTATAGTTTTTATCATTAGTGGGCGCCACATGGTTAACAATGATATCAGGCCTGTGGGAAGCAATTTCACTTTGAGGGGGCACATTCATACGTTTTCAGTTGGGGGGGGGGGCACTATCAACTACCAAAATTCCTTGACAAGCAAAAAAAAAAGGTCATCAGACGTTATTATTGAGGGGACACAAGCATATAGTAGCTATACTTTCTATAGTATTCTGTATAGCGGCAAAATTATTGGGTGCGGGCACGCCCCCCCCCCGTCCCCCCCCCCCGGTTCCTACGGCCTTGGATATTATTTTATAATTACATCATTTGTGGAATGTGATACATTACCGTATATACTCGCCTATAAGTCGGATTTTTGGGAGTTAAACTTTGGTCCAAAACTGTATGTCCGACTTATAGGCGAGTTATAAAAAGATAGGTATTTTAGAAGGTCAATCCTTCTAATATAAGCTTCAAAAATACAACCGACTTATAGGCGGACCGACTTATAGGCGAGTATATACGGTAACTGTTTCTATGTACTGACCTACTAGTACTAATAAACTTAAGATATTGAAAAACTATACAGTGTAATTGAAACTACTGAAGTATTGAATTAAGAACAGTTCAAGTACCGAATTTTGATTACATGTGAAAGGTTTCATAATTTTTAACTTCAGTACTCGGCGGATCGAAGCTTTTATTGATTCTTGGCAGGCACAAAGTTCGATGTCTTTTCATCAATACTATCCATAATTTATTATGAATGATTAAATTAATCATTTGTAGTTAAAAAAAAAAAAGACTAACTAGGATTGAAAAACTCATATGTACAGTTGAAATTAAACCTCCTGTTAAAAAAAATGATAGTTAGAGATCCTTATAGAATGTTAAGTGTAATCTAATTGACTTCCTTTATGATTTGTCTTCTCCACTTGTTGGTCTTTTTTTCTGTGCTATCTTATTATTTTGGATTTAATGTCGTTTTTAGTACAAAATGTAATAAATGTTTACTTTTATTTCTATTGTTAAAAATAATTTATAACATCTTCT